ATATATATATATTACTTTATCTAATCTTTCCATCCTTAGCTTTATCTAATCTTTCCATCCTTAGCTTTATATAAAAAATAAAATAAATGTAATAGGAGTAATTTAGTGATATCGATATGAAAGGTTCTCACATTTTAGCAATCCAACACAATTTATTTTTTTCACTTTTAATTTAAATTTTTTTATTTTTATTGAAACAAAGTTTTATCAGATAAACCAAGCTAAATGTCTTTGGAATTTGTGACATTTATGAAATGAAATCCCCAACACTCACTACTTTCATGTTCAGTCCATTTCATGATGCATGCAGCTTCAGCAGACCATCAGTGATTAACATTAGTTATAATCATAATAATAATCGTATCTATGTACATTATCATCTACGTTGCCAGGACAAAATAGGCTGTATTTTAACAATTACTGGAAAAAAAAATTTCAACACACTAATTTTTATTTTGACAAAAAAGTGTTTTAGATAAATAGTATTTAAATAAATATTTTCGTCACCTCAAGTTCTGCACAATTGACTGATTCAGCTGAAAAATGTAATCTGTCCAGATGCCACACATTTGTTTTTCAGTGCGTGTTGTGCTCATAAAATCAGCGACAACATTCCAACTCATCTTTTACAAATAAAATATATGTTGTGCAAATCATAGCACTGATACAGCTGTGCATCTGATTGTGAACGTGATGACACAATGGATTATTCAGCTACACAGAAAAAAAAAAATTACTTTCACTAATGCCATCCTACATACCTTAATATATAAGTTTGTACACATTATTGTGTCACAAACAGCTAATCAAGCATATACAGATCTGTAAATAGATATGGAGAGGATTTGTTCCATTTTGTGTAATGGAATTGTTTGTGAAGTATGTGAAGGTTCAACTACATGACAAAACGTGTTTTTCCTGTGAGTCGAAAGGAATTTACTGTCGTTCACACATTGATAAGAATAAGCAGTTCCTGTGTACTGTATGTTCATGTTAACCCTCCTGTTCTGCACAAGAAGAGTTGTTT